AATTTGATATTAAGATTTAGAGATTTAAATAAAAACGCTGTTGGTATCAGGAATGCCGACTTAAATGTACAAGACTACGAAAATACGTCAGGGAACATGTATTCTGCAATAACGCATCTCTGCATTCCTTTAAACACTACTTTACTAATTTCCTTAGCAAGAACATACTTAAACATTTAAAAATGAATCTCTTTCTCCGTCTCCGTCAATAAAATGAACTACTCAATCGAATTAACTGTGTAAGCAAAAGATTTAAATTCAGCTATCATGCACTCAAATGCAGACGAACGTACGGACAAGTCAAAACTGAAAATCAAACAATGTTGGCAGTGCGCCAGCTTAGAATTAGGCTGTGTTGATTATCCCATACATGGGCACGTAAACATAAAATAATCTTTGGAACGTGCCTGTGTGGTGCATTTGGACACGTTAAAGATGTTTACTTAACAAAAAGTGGTTTCGCCAAACAGATGAGCCGAGAAGTTATAAATTTACGAAGACATTCTTCGTCCATGTGCGCCCGAGATGTTTTGAATTCAACTTTAAAGCGAGCTTAAGCGCGCAAGTGAGAGTTTAGTTTGGGACGCTGCTGGCAGCCAGTTACTCGATAACCAGACTGAGCAGGAAGCAGTTTTTTCAGGGTGTTTGTTGTTCATGTGTGGGCTAAGCTTGTGCCTAGGCTATAAAGCCCATGAAGTGTTTAAACTGTAACACCATGCGGCCACACATCAGTAGTGCAAGCGATCTGAAACGCATAACAGCAGCAGAAAGCCTAATGCGTTAACTAACTGGATTAAAATTTGTTATTGAAGGAGGTTCATTGCTTGTGCAGTTTTTTTTTTCCTTTATCAGTATTAGTGCAGGTCATATAAACGAGTCGATAAATGTCTGGAGGACTGCGAGAAAACTTCTGAGCACAGTGCCAGCATCCGTCAAACATATGCCGGGTTGCGGTTTATCTGCGTTGAACATAAAGACGGTTTGTTCTTTTTACTGAATATTGTATTTGTTTGTTTCTAGTGCGACAACTAATCCACCTTCCAAACAAAGCAGC